CTCTTCATTGTGTTTAGACACAGCTAGAATCAGTCTTCTCGCATCAATCAGTTCGGATGACGTTTCGGAAATCCATTGACATAGGTATGTGTTACCAACTGTCTTCACCGCTGTTTCTACAGCAAACTTAATACCATGACAGGTTTACGCAGGGTGAACATTGCCATCACGTTCAGATAAATGCTCAGCTAGCTTCTTTCTAAATACGTACTTAGTCTCCTCATCTTCCAATCGAGAAATGACAGACTTTACTATCGCCTGTTTCCTTCGACCAGTTAGGCATAGACATACACAAGCCCTCACTAACGAGTGATCGGAGTCCAAACTGGTACTACGGAAAGAGCGTCATTCTTCCACTGATCCTCTCCAGTGGTGGTTGATAGGAATATGGCCTATATGTGTCCACCTTTGGCTTGAATTTGGCGAACGCCATGTGAGACAATATCTCTCCTTGTGCTTAAAGTTAGTGCTGGCGAGAAACAAGTTCTTATTGGGACAGAATTGCATCATACGATCACTACTGTAGGTTCGATGGCATGATATTCTGTAAATACGTACAAGATGACTTTCGGATTGGCTCAGCTTCCCCATTTGAACGTTAAAGTCACCTACCGTTATGACTATATCTGAACATCTTGCTTTCTGTAAGAGATTTCTATAGTCATTGAAACCAGATGCGGAAGTGTTATTTATTATACGAAAGTTAAAGAATTTAATATGGAATGGGCATGGAAATAATTTACGAGATGCTCCGCACAAAAATGCCTGTAAGAGATAACGAAACTTCGACATGCAATTGCATTTCTTGATAGGACCAAATTTGGGGTCGGGGCCGAAGAGAATATCATCATAAAGAAAACTGACACCATCTCTAAGAAAATCACACAAGAAACGACACCAAAACTATTGGTTCTGAACCCATAGCAATGATCATATCAATACCTCTTTAAAAATGAGAATTGTGTTATATCGGTTGAGAAATGGAAAAAAATGAATCTCAGATAAGAATTATCAACCGGATTATTTTATTTATTTTACTAGGTATTTTAGGTGACTTGTTTGAAAATATTGTGTAGCTTGGCTCAAGGGATTTTCCTTGACCCTTCATCTATTTTTGTATGACCTTATAGTTCGGAAATAATTGACCATTGAGTGAGATCAATTACTATGTGTAATAGCTTGGAGGTTTTTGGGGGTTGATCGCAAACATACTAAACCTGAGTCCTGAAGGTTCTGATTGCGAGTGGCTGAGTGGTCCTATACTAAGGCGAAACAGTTGCTCAGTTCTTATAGGTTTTCAATAGTCCCCCAACTGACGTTAATTCGTACTGGATGCCGTCTTAATATCGTGTATTACCTCGATTCTGACATCAAATTGGTTGTTTCATCATGGTGCTTTGTGAACAGGAAGTTCAGTTGTATATGTAGATAATTCAGACTGCCTGATAGGGACAATGAACACAAGACTGTGTTCTGCTATACGGGGTCATGAGGGTCGAAGTGCTTGACGCATCGTGTGAGTGAATTGAGCATACGAGACATGACCAGTATAGGGGAGAATAATCAAGTACCAGGTCAGCGTTAGAAGTGAATCGGTGAACTCATGTGGTTCAGATAATTACTACTAAGGGGAGACATACTCAGTACATCGCACAATTGAAAGTTCGGTATTCGAATACCCCTGAGGGTGTACAGTCCGTTATCAGCGATCAGGCGAGTTGTGTCCGTCAAAACATTCACCCTCTCTATTGTAATTTAATTTTTATCATACATATGCTTATGGAGGTCTCCATCTCACCTAGCTACATGGATTGAACTTGTCACGGAAAGCTTTTTAATAGACTAGAGTTGTTGGGTAAAGTTGCTGACAAGACCAGAGTCTTCGGGACGCCTTGATTGGCAATTTGAAAATGTTTGAGCTGGGCACCTCACCATCTGAATGCAAGTTGTTGGTGGTCTGCATTGATTCCCTATTTAAAAACAAGGAGTGAAGTGGTTGGGCGCGTTGATGATTTTGTTGATTTGGGAGGTTGGGTCGACCCTGATGGGTCTGTGACCAGCGAAGTCCCGGCACGCACACAAGAGGCTTGCTTCGCTTTTGGAGCTGGTGTGATATCCGATTGCCAGGGGAGCTGTGGCTCAGTGATTTAGGGAGATGGTAGTTAACCACCGGGCCACGGACTCGAGCCCCACTCCACTTACCGATGTTTTAACAACCAGGTAGTGTCATTAGCCCTCACACAATAGATGTGACTCATTGCCTACTGCATGAGTATGCACAAGGTGGCCGAGTGCTTAATCGAAAATCCACTTATAAAGGGCAGTTGGCATCAGCTCAAAGTACTGGTTGTCCTTAGGAGAGATGTCTTACTGCTGTCACACCGTAGTACGACTTCTCACTAAGACACCTCTATTATGGTGTAATTTAATTATACGATGATGGTAGTCTTTAGTCCCTGAAGTCTTTGACTGTTGGTCTGAGCCGTGTAGGGAAATGTCGATCTCTCGTTGGGGTCCGCGTGACAACTGAAATCGGTGGTTAGAGATTCAAGGTTATATAGTTTACAATCGATCTCAGTGATGCAGATGCATCTACACATTATCTTCTTTTTAGTCATTCTACCGAATTCGACTATTGTCTAACTACTCTTTGTCCTCTTTTGATGATTTTCAAGCACTTCCGACTGTTCTTTCATTTCTTTGTCTTGCATATTGATACTTTCTGCCTTAATGTGCTGACACAAGATATGGTGGCTCTGTGATGTTTTTTACCGGTTGTTACCTTGATAGGGTCTCGTTTGTAGTTTTCTGTTTTCATGGACAGATTTTATTTGGAATAAGTAAAACGATATTTAAATAACTCACCTAATATTGAGTTTTTCTTGTTGGCCACGCTTAAATTTCTTTCGAAACAACGTAGTTGCTCCCTATATTTTGTATTACGTTTTATTTGGTTGGGTAGAACATATCCAAGTCATCGTAATCGGTGCACCTTTTGGTCATCAAGTGGCTTAACTTCCTTCCTACAAGTTACAGTTACAGCTAAGCTCGACAGTACTTCCTCTGTGATTGTGGTATTCAGTCATTATTGATAAAGAACCTATTACTCTTCTCAACAACAGGACGAAGGACTAGAAGTTAGTAATCACATAATTAAAAACCAATATATCCACATCCGAAATCGAGGGAAGTAAGTAAGTAACGAAATGTGGTAAAGTGGTTAAGCAGAAGAGAAAGGATGAGTTCGAGTTCACCACTGTGATAAGTTCTGATCTATTTCACCTACAGCTTCTAGCCATCGATTTTGGGTGTCATGTGAACCCTCACTTGGAAGTCAACATAGCACTACATTATTCAGACCGGCACTCAGAGACGTCATGAACTGTTGTCATGTTTTGGCCTGGCTACATAGATATACCTAATTGAAAAAATGCTCCAATATCTTTTTTCCCTATCCACTTCCTTTTACTATGCTATTATGCAGTGTACCAGATTGAATTGGTTTTTTTGTGTGCTAGGTTATATAGTTTGCCTGTAAACGTTCTAGAGTAAGATAGAGTGGACTGATATACAGTATGCTGGACTTCATAGGCGTTTGACTACCTCAGTAACATTGATGATGTATTGAAGTGAGTAACCAGATGGGTATTTTCGTATCCGCATGGACACCGTAAACCTTTCACATTGGTGCTAGTATAAGAAAAACACCAGCGCTAACAATATTGGATCCTAACTAGCAAATAAGGTTAAGACTGGTCTGTGGGAGATCGGTTGAGGAGGGAAATGCTCATTGGACTGCTGCTTATTGGATTGGACATTTACCTTTCATCCACCCTGCCGTGGCCTGAAATTCCACTGTACATACTGACTTTAACTCTGTTGAGTAACAAATGTAATGTTAGCTTGGCTTAACTATGAGTGACACAACCCTATTTTGGCTGGAATAACCGTCGCTTGAGGACTCGCCATGTCAGTAAAGTAAAGTCGTTTGGCTAGTAGTATTTCTGATTGTTACAGTCAGTGTTGGCAGTTTATTCAATGTGATGGTGAGCTTTGACTCGTTGATTTGGCAGTCGACTTTCAACCAATTGGTCAGAGTCGATAGCTGTATATCGCAATAACCGAACGAGCTATGCTGGTTTAACATTTGTTTCCTCGAGGTCCTAACATGCCGGAAAGGTCTGTTGGGTAAGACGACAGGCAATTACCGTTCTAGTGTAAATTACCACACTATGATTGGGATCTGAGGGCGAAGTCATACTGCTGCTAGCTGGTTGGGGTGTGACAGTAGTGAGGTGTTTCCCTTGGATGACTAGCATTGCCACGCTGATGCTGCTTTACTAAAGGGAAGGGTAGGGTTAAAAAACGTCGGTCCCCAAAACAGCATACTCCTCCCTACCTCATGGTCTTCCGATGTCAGCGGGGTGGCTTTTCTCTGTCCGATCTTAGAACAACCAAATCTGAAAACAATAATCCTCAAACTGATGAGCATGACAGGCCTCTAACAGATGTCCTCTGGTTTCTGTCTCCGCACGAATAGTTTTGTCTTCCGGGCACCTTAAAAAAGAAATAACCTTCCATGGTGTTGACAGCCAGGAAGTGTCAAGTGCCCGCACGCTTCGAATAGTATACAAGACCCACTAAAGCATAACTTATCCCCCTCAAATCTATCTCCTCCCTTACATTCACCTGAGTGGAGCTGTGATCATTGGTTCAGGAATATGGTTTGACTATCAACCAGTGGGTGGCGGGTTCGAACCCTGCTCCACCTACTGAGGTTTGGGGACCCAGGTAGGATCAGTAGCCCTCATACAATATCCACATTAATTTTTGTCTCTATATTGCTTATTCCCTCACATTACTTTATCTACTTTGATATCACTCCTTTTCTATCCACTTGTTCTTTATATACTACTGTAATGTGGCAACTTGATCTGATACACTTCTGTGCGAGGTTGTACTTTGATTCTGTGTCAGTTACTTGGTGAGTCACAATGAATGTGGCTCATAGCCTACTTCACGAATGTGCATAAGACTGCTAAGTGTATTTCTTTTTTCTCTATGTGGAGATCTGAAGATGGAATCATACTTCTGTTTTAACTGACGTAAGTTATCCCTCCGATAATTAGCATTCCTCCTGTTCTTCATTTTCAGAAAAGGATTGTTTACAAATGATGGACCCTAGAATTATGCATTCTTTCTAGACCTATGGCTTTCAATCACCGGCTGTAAGTTTTTTTTTAAGTCAGTGAGGCAACTCTGTAGAAACCATCACTACCAAATTAGCCGTGCTGCGAACTAGTCTGAAACAAATATAACTTGGTTCTGTTGTCACAGAACTAGTTAACTTTCTCCTTTAGGTATTTCAAAGGAACACAATCTTCCACCATGTGGACAGCCAAACAAAATGTTACCTTCCAACGAGTTTATCGTTTTCTCATCACCACTAACCTTTTTCATTGCCTTCTAAACGTTCTTCATATATTCATGCTAATAACTCCATTGTCTGAAATTTTTTCCAGCTCTTCAGTCGATATTAATAATTTGTGTTCATATAACAAAATCCGTGCTCTAATCGAAAAATGGAAATACACTTAGCAATCATATGCACATTCGTACTGTTGGCAACAAGCCATACTTATTGTGTCAGCGCTAATTATAACGCCTAGTTGTCCAGACCTCGGTGTAAAAGGTGGGGTTCGAACTCATGATCCATTGGTTGAAAGTCAACTGCCTAAACCAATAAGCCATAGCTCCACAAATCCGTATTCTCAATGTGGCATGCTTTTTAGGTCATATAAAAAAATGCAAGTATTGCACGGTCACCAGACTTCATCCAATCAGAACTTGATCTCTAAACGTTCACCGTTCTAAGTGAAATAATATTTTTGCAACGTTTCTTGAAGCTGATTTACAAGAATACGTAAAAGGTGCCTAGCATTTGGGGTGTAAATGTTGCAGTGACCAAACGTACTCGGACAGTCCAGTTTAGTATCAATGCTTTTCCACTGTGGTTTCTAATATAAACACTCCCATCCTTGAAGATGTCAATTATAAATATATCTTTTTCTATACCTTTACTTGTTGTGGTTTACTTTAAAGTTTAGTTCATTGGTAGCACAAAGTCTGTGACTTGTCAAACATGAAAAATAGACCGAAACTAAAAAGAAAAAGAAAAAATTAGGGATTAGTTGAGTGGTAAAGGTTGTAAATTGGATAAAGACAGCTAACTTTGGAAAAATAAAACTTATCCGATCTAGGACAATTGGAAAACGATGACGTCACTTCTATGAGTAGTTCTCTGTTATCTGATTGCAATCAGCGTAGTCTTGTCGAGCAGTGCGAAACCAGTTGTCAGGCCAAGTCAATTTGTCTAAAACTTGCTTCACCTAGTAGAGAATATTTTCATATTTAGAAAAAGAAATACCAGTAATGAAGATTGCCAGGTTTGATTGTACACCAAGAAAGTTCTTGATATTTATGAACACTTACAAGGTCGATGTTGGAATACCCCTCTATGATAATAGAGAATATCCCTTTTGATTCAGTGTTAAATGGTTTTAGGTAGTCAACAAGGAAGCTCTGGGCCTAGGTTTCGTGCTTTTTGTAACTCGTTAGCATGGCGTTTCTGCAACCTCGAGGGAATTGATGTCTTTTGAGAGGTTCGAACCCACATCACGTAGTGCTACAGTTAGAGACTTTACAACTGAACCATTCAAACTGCGAATGACCTCTTTTAGGGATGGATTAAGTAAACCGTTGGCACACTGAAAAGGAACAAACCTGATACTGACTTCAGTATTGCAGTGATATGATTAATGAGGCTGTTGAAGGTTATGTTGTTAGTCAAAGAGAGAAGATCCAAGAAAGTAGTGACTATTACAAACAGCTTGATAGCTCAGTTGAAGTCAAAGAAAATTTATTAGGAATTAATCAATGGCTCATACATGAAAGACGTTGATGTTGATTTGAAGAAGAAAGTGAAGCAAGCTGTCAACATTGAAATCGCTATGACTGAGTTAGGTTTCAAATCCACTTGTGGCAGGAGTGGACTATACCACTTTCACCGGTGGTGACTGAATGCAAAGTAGGTCTTGGGAGCTATAAGGACCAGTATTGAATATTTTGTATACGCCCACCCGCCTTACTTGTGTTAACCTTTAAGCCCCATTAACGTGTCATTGTATTAGTCCCCCATCTTCTTCATACTTATACATTCATTATGTTGACAATTTTTCTGTACTTGTTTGTAAATCATTTTTACTTTACTGTCATCGTGCCTTTTCCTGGATGACTTTAAAGGCCACCTTAACAGCTGATGAGAAAGCCAATTGCATTCCTTTATTTTATGGTGACATACTTTTCAAGACGAAATACCAAAGCCTGTTTGGTCATTTCACCTGTTGTTAGAGTCGCCTTTAAAGTCACTCCCTTTTCCTATTTATGACCTTTATTCTTGAAGGCTACCTTAAGGTCTTCGATTGATTTACATATTAACGTTTGCAGGATGAACTCCTAATTCAAACTGTACATTTTTGTCCATTTATTTATTGTCATCATAGTTATCACTTGTGTTTACTGTAGCGTTTAAAATAAATCTCAGTAGTTCTATTCTGAACCTTTTGGGCTTTTCACATCACTTGGCTTGGGGTTTCCCTTATCGTTATTTTAGATTCGTCCCAAATAGGACGAAACGCTCGCCTTAGACTCCTCGGCTAACCACAACTAAGTCGATTATACCGATAAATATTCAGACAATATCGAGACATTTGCATAGGAGCCGGTATGTCAGCAGAGGTCGAACGATTAGATCGAGTAAAATATCGGAGGATTGGAAGTATATCAACAAATAGTAACAGCATGGATAATTTTTATAAAGGAAACACATATGGAGTCCATCTGTTCACACTACGGTACTGTATTTCCAAAGGTCAAGGGGTTTTACAAGCAGTTAAATCGTGTAGGATAATAAATAACTCAAACAGGTTTATGGTCTTTAGAAACGTGCATACAAAGGAGGCCTAATATTTTGGTTGGTATCCATATCCAAATACCCACTAGCAATCATGCTAAAATTGTGTCTGTCAGTAATGTAGCATTGGGAATTGTACTTACCCATTTCCTATGAGTGTTGCCTACTCGTTGGAATCTTCATAAATAACCTGGTTTGCGACACGCTAGTGTGTATGTTTTTTTTAATTTCCTTCAGTTTAACAACCTAGGATTCACATTGATGTTCAGGGTTCTATAACTCCCAGCAGTAGTATATCAATTCATGGGTATTACAGGTTATTCTGCATTCCTTATTGAACTTCATAAACCGTACTAAAATTCATCAAAGTTCAGTTAAGTCTTGCTAAAAATTTACCTGATAACGATACTTTTCTTCTTTTATTATAAAATTGTTGTATCTGCTTGATTTTCAGTCAATTTACTCGTATATCTCTTCACGTTCCGACATCACTTGAACACTATCTCTAGAAGTCAATTATTTGACAATGGCGGTAACGTCTGAAGCAGTTAGAATGCACCAAAATTCAGCTCAAAATAGTTGGACAGTCATCAGGTGTATAAGCAAGATTGCTTTTATTCTTGTTTTCTTGTCAGTCGTAAGTCTGTTAACTCTTACTATTTTGTTCCTAGGGTCTTTCTACGGGAATCTTAGGACCAAGTATTCTTTATTTGGAAATATTGTCTGGTTCACGAGAGGATGAAACTGCTCTTATCTTTACATCACGAGCTGTTGGGTGTATTGGTGGTTGGATAGTTAGTTGTCTGTTATTGGACCCAGAAGGCTCTATTAAACCAAACGATTTGCTAAGTATAGGACTTTTTGGTTTAGTAGTATCCAATGCACTTATCATCTTTGTTGCACATCTTTGGTGGGTTTTGGCGGTATTCTTCCTTCAGGGTTTATTTGCAACAGTTTCTTTACAAGGTAAGAAGTAATACTGTGATGAGATTTGTTTTAGTTGAATTTCTATAGAAGTTTATTGTTGATTAAATGCATAATTCTGTTCGCATTTCACACACATGGAAGACATCAAGAGGAAAAAACATATTAATGGTTAAGCTGAGTTATGGTTCACTTCAATCATTTCACGATGTACACATACACTTAACTTACTCCTAGTTACTTGGATATGATTTGTAAAGTCTTAGGGGGGTCACTATGATCCATAAAAGTGATCTGAGTTGAAAAGACATTAAAAATACACTAAACTGTACCATCTCTTAGATAGCAGATAGATAACATAATTGGTGAAGGTGAAATGTAAACTCATAACTCATTGTTTTCAGTGTGAGTATCTGAAATGTTGAATTATACGACAGGGTATAATGACTCTCTCCCTATATGATAGATATAAATAAAGAAATGGAAAGCATATTGTATTGAAAGATTGATAACACTTAAACTCATGATTCCTTTGTTTTCTGATCATCATATTCGCAAAGTGAGTTTTCCCTAATGACTAATTACTTGGGAATGTGAACCATTGGATTCTGACCCAGTGGCTCAATGGCAACGTGTTGGCCACGGCACCTGAAGGTGCCCACTTCTTAAGAGTCCCATATTAGGACGAAACAGGTGTCCAGTGCTCCCAGGTTCCCAATATTTTTCCAACTGATGTCAGTCCATGATGAATTCCAACCTAACATCAATTAATAAACCTTCATAGTTAGAAAAAAAACCCACATTATTTGAGTACTAAAGCTTTCACTTCATAAACCATATCAATATCACTGGTATGTTTACTGTATTTCGATCGCTATTCAGGATTATCCATGATATACTTCTGAATGTTGAGTTTATTCAATGTTCTATTGATCATCTCCACGACTGAAGGCATCTTATAGTAAAAAGTGTTTTCTTTCGTATGGGTTGTGGGCTGTCGATTATAAGGAGAAAATATGTGAAAATTATGAATTGAGTATGTGTTGAGTGAAACAACATCCCTGAAGGATCGGGCATGGAAGAACATTGCAACTCTTTGAGAGAGACGTGGAAGGAAACCTGCATAACCGTATCAGGAAGGAAGAGGAAACGAGACACGGAATGGATCTTGGTGGACACATGCAAGCTGATGGAGCAGGTAGAGGAAGATGGTGATGAAGAAGCAGAAGATGAAGCAGTGCAGTGTAGGGATGAACAGCGAAAAGAGGAACTTAGTACAACGTATAAAACACTGGAGGAGGAAGTGAAGAAGAGTGCGCACAAAGACTAAAGACACTTCTACGACACACTGGCAAGTGAAGCAGAACAGACTGCTGGTAGGAGAGATCTGATAACACTATTTCAAATAAGTAGGTTACTATGTGGGAGGGAAGAGATCAACTGAGATGAAACCAATGGGAGATAGTGAAGGAAAGCTAGTTACGGAAGAGGAGAAAGGGAGAAAACGATGGGCTGGCCACTTGAAAAAACTCTTTAGTCGACCACCACAAGAAACTCGTTTGAAAATATCAGCCCATCCAGGCACAGAACTATCAGTGAACACTAGCCCTCCGCCAAAAGCAGAATTGAAGTTGTGAATGCCACAAAGTTGCTGAAATTCGGAAAAGCAGGATGACGAGATGGGATTTCTCGAGAAGCACTGAAACGGACGGGTAGACGACAGCGGACATGCTGACACGACTACTGCAGAAGGTTTACAAGGAAGGTTGGAGAAAAAGGGCTGCCTTGTCAAACTTCCAAAGAAGGGAGACCTAAATCTTTGCAAGAAGTGGTGAGGAATCATTCTCCTGTCCACCCGAAGCAAGCAAAATATTGAGCTGGATAATCGTGGCGAGACTAAAGGATGCACTGGATTCAAAACTACGACGGGAACAGGCTGGCTGACTGGCTTCAGGAAGAAGAAATCATGTGTGGATCACATTGCAACGCAACGCTACGCTGTGCATCATCATAGAACGGAGGGTAGAATAGCAATCAACTCTGTACCTCAACTTCATCGATTTTGAAAAGGCCTTCGATAGCGTCGACGAAGAATTAATTTGGCAGGCAGGTGGTTCAACACTGGGGGTTTAGTGCCACAAACGTTTATGAACCTCATTTAAAAGGTATATGAAGACGCCACATGCTGAGTGATTCACAATGGAAAGCTCAATGACGCCTTTGAAGTGAAGAGAGGAAGGAGTAATACCAGGTTGCCGCCTACTATTATCACCGATAATCTTGTTGACTGTGGTCGACTGGACTGGATTGGACTGGACTGGATCATGCAAGAGACAACTGTGAGGAGGGAGAAGATGAGCATAGGGTGAGTGGAGGGATGAAATGAGCGTAGAAGATTTGGATTTTGTGGTTGATGATTCATGTTTAATGTCTTGTTGCACAAAGTTGAAGATGTTCAGGCGAAAAGCAACAAGTTTGCAGAAGAGTTGATGTGAGGTGAGGTGAGGCGAGGCTTGGGAGCGAAGGTGGGATTTCCTTCAATTGGACATGTAGAAGACAGAGGTGCTGAGGATGCCCAACCAACGACAACGAGAAGAAGAAGAATAAGAAGAAGAAGAAGAAGAATAAGAGGTATGGATCACCGTGAACAGGAGAAACCTAAATGAAATTGTCTCTTTGATCTACGTACTGCGTAGACAGCATCGTTTGAACTTCAGGCAGGTACATGGGGTGTAGGTGAAGATATCAAAGCCAGGATTGGAAAAGCGAACTAGATAGGTCTTGACTAATGTGAGATTGTAGTGGATATCTACTGTGGATGACTCAGCATAAAGCGTGAACAAGATCTTGATTTTTAACACAAATGTCAGTGAAGTGAGTGAGTGCTTGAATGTGATGGTTGAGAGACTTGGTGCTTTACGAAAAGCATTTTGAACAAACTAGAGAGATTCATCCACAGCTGGCTAGTGTGGTGGTATACTGAAGATGAGATGGATGGCGAGAGTAGTAAGTAATGAGAATAAGTGAGGAGAAACTGTGGTTTGGGAACACACCAACGAACCAAGAAGCTATCACCCAATAAGTATGCGTAAGAATAAAGTGTGGATGGATTGTATTGGGCATACACTGAGAACATCATTCGCCAGAGCATGTCATGCTGTGGAGTGTAATGCAGAGGGGAAGTGAGGATTTGTGCTTGTGATGTGAGGGTGATATGGAGGAGATGGTGTATGAGGTAGAAATGAAAGCTTGTGATGATTTAGAATAAGAGACTGGATAGAAGAGAGTGAACTGGTGACATGTTACTGAATCTTTGTGTTCCATTCGGAACCCAAGGGACAAATAGTAATATATTGAGTGACAAGAAATACGAGACTTATTGATTACCTTCAACTAAATACCACCCATCAAAGTGTCACCGAGATGGTAAGCAGCTTCCTAGCTTGTTAGGCACATTGCGAAATGATCGTCACAACTTAGTCCATACTCTCTAGTAACTAGTCAATGTATCAGTTGTGGAGAAGACAAATTCATTTATCTCCTAAACACTGTTTGAATATTGGAAGGTGACGCATATGAGAACCAAACATTAGAATCATGAGATTCACTACTATGACATCATTCACTGAACTTACTTCTTGAATGGTGGAGCTTTCAATCATTAAATCTCTAAGAATCGATTCCAGTTTCAAATGTTACGATAGTTAGGGGGTAATTTGTTGGGCTTTGATAAATAACAGCTCCATTAAGAAACTGTATAATAACAACACTAAGGAGGTTGAGAAATCAGGAGTCGAAAGTAGCTAGTTGTTTGGTCTTTTTAGATTACTTTGTAAGTAGTATTGTAAAGATGAAAATTTAAAAGAAAAATAAAATCAAAATCTTGATGAACCTTATGCAGTTACCTTGAAACGTGATACATCTGACAGAAGCTCAAATCTAGTTGAAATCTACACAATACCAACAATTGTATGTCTTCTTCTATCAATACCTTGAATGAGGCCATTACTAACCTTAATTATAAAGGGGAAACACTGTTGAATATTGTGTTCAATGATGGTAGGAATCATATCAATAACGTAAATAGCCTATATTTCTACACCCATCGTTATCTACCAAAATCTGAAGAGTCCTTCGATACTCGTTTGTCAAATAACATTATTATGAGGGGATTTAAGAAAAAAAAAACCTGGCAGTAGTATTCATCCTGATGTAATTTAGTGACAAGTTTAGTCTACAAAAAGACGAGAAGGTAAAATAGTTTAATCGTTTGAACTGTATTGCATTGAATTAAATTGTCAGCTTTCAGCTAGTATGCCATGGGTGGGTGTAAAACTGACTCCACCAGGTGGTGTAAAAAGTCTTAATATATGTGGTTCACTGTCTTGCGGAACTAAATGCGTCTAAAAGTGGGTCTAGAGTTGTTTTATTAATATCAGTGTAAAACTTGGACACTGTGGTAGAATGTAATTCCATATTAGATTTGTTTATTTGATATATAGCGCACAGTGATAAGGTATTATTTACTTGATTACGTTTCGAGCATGAATTATTGCTCATAATCATATCAATGTAATCACACTTCTTTCGATATCTGATTTTATAGTCCTGTCACCTGATCTCTCTTTGTTTTTTTGATTGGTAGTAAAGTTTTCCATATCTCTGGTTTAGGTGTTGCGTCATTCCTATTACGTGTTGGGTGTGGATTCGATGAACAAAGATTCAGTAATTAATCTCTCTCTCCACCTAGCTATATTAGACTTAAGTACAGTGATTTTGTCCCACCCTATTGTATGGTTATGTGTTAATGAATGTAATGCAATGGTCGAGTGTTTTTCTAGATTATTGATCTTATTGGGGTCTGCCGTTCTATGTTTAGCTAGATTCCTATGTTCTGTTAATCTAACTGACCCCAACCGGCTAGTTTGACCTATGTATTTGACCTCACAGTCATTACATGGAATCTGGTAGATTATTTTATTTTGCCTAATTGGTTCTATCAAATCCTTAAGGCAGCCGACAAAGCTTACCTCTGAGTGAGTTTGTTGGTTTTAATGCAGATGTAAAAGTAAATAATACTGTATAACTGTGCGCTATATATCAAATAAACAAATCTAATGTGGAACTAGAGTTGTTTTTTCTCTCGGTATTTTCCTATCAATAACGACTACCGTAAACCAGTGAGTTTCGAAAATTCTAACTGCTCAAGTGTTATTAGATGACTCGTCAGCATTGTGGTGCATTGAGTTAGACAGTTGACTTTCGGTCAGTGGACCATGGGTTCGAACCCCCCCCTCACTGGGCAGCCCAGAAATATAATTAGCCCTAATACAATTGGTGCACGAATATGCACGAGATTGCTGACAACATTTCGATCTAGCTAGATGATCCATTTCAATAAATTCCAAGCAGGATATTCATTGAAAGTCAGACTGGCGTAAAACCTCGCACATAATTGCATCGGTTCAAATTGCCACACTTTACAGTAGTATACAAAAAACAGATAAATAAAAAAAAGAGTCATATTGAAGTTGTACGAGAGAATAAACAATTTGAGGATAAAGGTTAGTGCGAATATTCAAGCTTTAGAATAGATAATACATCTGCGCTACTGTGACCGATTTTCAGATATCTCACCAACAGTCTTCAACCACTGGTTTCTATTGTCTTGAGGACTCCAACCAGGCAGTCTACATTTCCCCATATGGTTTCGTCTATTGGCTCTACGTTTTGGTCACCGTGAATCCTCTTTCAAGCTAATCCAACATCTGCTAGCATGACCCGTCGATGTATTCGATGGCTCGGTATGCGCATTACATGTCCAAGCGATTTCAGTCGACTAAGGTTCATATCCTCACTTGGTGCCTTTCACCTAGCCTCAACATTGCTCACACGGTGATTCCACATAAACTTTAGCAATGCTACAAAGATATATGTGATCAAAATCCTGTAATCGTTTCATGTCGTATACTTTTAACTATCATGTCTCACAACCGTATAACAGGATAGGACTTTACTAGCTGATCTGAGGTTATACTGTAGTTATGTTAGCTATCAGCTTTGTGTATATTGAATCTTCAATTTGGGCATTGTACTGACGAACGAAACGTTCTCAGCAACCATGTACACACTTATAGAGTAGACTCAATGTGCCATACCTATTGTTTGAGAGCTAGTAATTTCATCTGGTTGTTCAAACCTCCGTAGTTTGTAAGTCTGTTATCTGATTCTTATAAATTTACTTTATTTTGTAAAAAAAAAAAAATTTATTACATCATTGATTTTATGCTTGTTTATTTGTTTTATGAACAAACATTTTTCAGGGTGTATTTATTATCATCGATATAAGAAGAAATGGTTACACAGTATACCACAATATTTAACAGTAACTTTTTTACTCGGTTGTATATTTACTCCTTATCTGATCTTATTCATTGAACCAACGTCTAATACAATCAAATCATTAGGAGTTCGTCCTAGTTTCATATTTCATGAAATTCATTATCATCATCCAAATAATCATTTAGTCGACAACAATCAGTCTAAAATTCATTCAATTCGAATAATTGAAAATAATAAACAAAAAACTTATCAACTTATTCGTATTCCACGGTATATTTCAAATACTACCATTATATTACCAAATAGATCAACTATACAAACACTAGAAACTATTGTACACTTTAACAATACTAGTAAGATTGATAATATTTATATAAATTTACAAAAATCTAATTTATCATCAAATAAGATGAATATGAATAAGACAATATTGAATAGTCAAATAAATACTTCACAAATTATATTTATCAAGAAACCATTAATTAATGATGCTAAACATTTGAATCAAGATAGTTCATCTGCAGATGGTAGTCAAGCTGCATATAAAATGAAAAAACTTAGTGAAGAACGTCAAATTGATAAATTGGTTGATGATACTACCATTGAAAAATCATTATCAATTAATCCATCAAATCAATTAAAAGAATCTTTCAATCAAAATTATTCTAACACTACTATTACTACTACTACTACTATTACTAATATATTGTTGAATACTTCAGTTTTCAATCTTACTAACCAATCCTTAATTAATAATAATAATAATAATAATAATAATAATAATAATAATGGTAATGAAAACTCTTCAAATCATTTCAATTCATCAATTATACATTTTTCAGTTGATTTTTATAATATATCTAAAGACTCTTTAAAAAATTCTACTTTATTCAAACATCATAATCTTAATTCAACTATTAATAATAACTATACAAAGAATTCATTGAAACCAATTAATGATAATAAAGTAATATTCGGTATTTTTAATTTAACAAAAAATGATCTATCAATGAATAATTCTTCTATTCATTTAACATTTCATAAACTTTCATTAATAAATCAGATAAATAAGTCTATTGTTCATGTTCTAATGGCCACCAATAGTTCAACTAATCATAAACGTCATCGTATTGCAGAATATTCATTGGATAAATCATATCATATTTTAGTATTACCTTTTCAGCATCCTTTAACATCTATTCAACGAGTATATTTATTATTGAGTATTATAATAATAATACCTTGGATATTGACAATTCCATTGACAAGTTGGTGTAAATCATTGTTTATACATTTTTTTGGTCTTCAAATTATCGATGATAATGATACTAGTCTTGAACTTAATACAATTTTTAAAGTTTCACCATCCAATATACAACGATCAAATTCTGATGATAGTCATAATGACTCTGAAGAGGGGATTAAATCAAGGCTACTTGGAAAATCAGGTAGGTAGTATTTATTTGGATAGTTGAAAAAAGTGTTAAACATCCTATATGACTTGTACCATGTTGGTGTAGTGATCAGGCTTGTCTTATTGAAGTGACTTAGTTGAAATATTTATTCCTTGAAGTCCTATGATACCAGTAATGTCTACTGGATAGTGATAAGACGAAAAGCAGTTACCTGTATAGTTATCCTTCTGGCTGGACTGTATTTGACGGAAGTAAGAGAACAGCTTCCATGGTGTAGCCATTAAAGAAATGCCAATCGTCTTCACTCTCTTAATTGCATGAGAAACTCATATAACGGTATCCTATCCTCTTTGACATCACTATCTGTTCGTATAACTGATATTTAGCCTCTTATTGCACTGCGACCACTACTAACAATCCAATGAAGCGAAACATCATTTTTAACCTAAAAGTACACCTTTTATTGTGCATTAAGGTTTTCTCTGTGAAACACTTTGTCAAACTGGAAGATGCGCCTAATTTCCCAGAACTCTGAAGTCTCGAACTATAGGTGTTTCTTGTGTTTATGAGACGCATACAAGATCCAAGTGTAAGATCATTTCACTAACTTGTCTTAGCCTAGTTAGTTTGGTGAATCGTAGTGATTCACCTTAAGGGAGTCCAGTGATTCAATGGGTAGCTTCTATAGAGTTGTAGAACAGAAAGCGTACTTCTTTAGTCGATGCCACGTGACAACCGACTATGCGCTGCCTGGCCGAATAAACCTATATAGAGATAATAAACGATCGTGATACATTAACGCCTACTTTCGGTTTTGACCATCGCGCCAACCCATCGTAGTTCACACGATGTAAAGGATAAGTTCTGCTAAAAACTCAATTTTCTGCCTAAAATAAAGCGCTCCGATGTATAAGAGTAAAAATTGAACACTACGTTAGCATATAGTTTCCTGTTATGCTGCAGAGCTGTGGCTTAGTTGTTCAGGGAGATGACTATCAACCAGTCAGTTACGGGTTAGAGCCCCCCTCCACCTGTCGAGGTTTAGGCAAGTAGTTAGTATCGTCAACCCAGTTGTGGCTCGTCGCCTATTGCATGGATGTGCACAAGATAGCTGAGTGCATCTCGTTTATTTGACGTAGTACACAGGGATGCAGTGACGGACAGACAGAACCAACGTAGAACCTCGAACACAAGTGCATCGGTTTAACTTGTCACACTTAACAGTAGCATACAAAGAAAAAGTGGATAGAAAAGGTGATAGCAAGGTAGACGAAATTGTGTGAGAGAATAAACAGTCTGAAGATACAGGTTGGAGAAAATGTTCAGCCTGCAGAAGATATCAAGCAGTGAATACATGTGTACCATTGTGACCTATTTTCACCCATGTCAACGACAGTCCTCAACCACTGATCCTTTTTGTCTCGGGTACTTCAGCCAGGAAGTCCACATCCCCGCACACGACAAGGGGTCCGAGACTTCTTCCAACTTCTAGTATTGGACTTTGACATAGGCAGTGACTCGGTATGTACAATACATGTCCAAGCCACAGTACTCCAGTACAGACACTTGTTTGTTTGTCCTACTGGGTACAGGAAACAAACAACAATTAAAATTCTATATGCTCGACTAGAAGTTGGAAATATCAATTGTATATTTAGGAAAGAGATAACTAAGCATTTATCTGGTAATAATCCTTTCTCTGATGAAGTCTGGAGTAGAAACAGTTGTAAAGACGGTTGATAACCTACATCCAAAAGCCAATGGATTTCTGCAACCCTCATCCAAACTGGTCGACACGAAAAAGCTCGCTCCAACTAGCTCTGACCATTATAAGGAGAGAACGCAACTTAAATGTAAATTGGCCAAGCGTGTGTATATAATAACTGCGAGCAGAGAAATAGGTGAAGAAAGTGAAAGAGTTTACAAATACATCGACATTAGTTATAGTAGGTAATGTACCACACTTATTGTGTATGGGCCAATAATGCTACTTAGCTGCCCAGATCTTAGTAGATGGGGAGAGGTTAGAACCGGTAACCTACTGGCGACTGAAAATCAACTCCCTAGACCACTAAACCACAGCTCAAGCAAAGAAAATGAAATTGAATTGAATTCTACTACAACACCCAACTTTGACTCCTTTATTAAGGAACAGAATATTCTTTTCAAAAATTTCTTCCTCACATTTTACAGTTATATTTCCATATTGTCCAGTTAAAGAACAATTATCACTTTGACTATCTGAGATAACTATGGTTTGGTAGACTAGTATTTATACTAGATGATGACTGAGCACTGAACTGGAAACCCCAGTGATCGCTGGTTCGAATCCTACCAGGGTCCAAATTTTCATTTTACTTTCAATCATCACTCAGTACAAAGAACTGTTGTATCTTAATAACAATGCGATTTGAAATACTAGTCAGTCGTTAATTTTAGACAGTTTGTTAGTTTTTTTCAAAAAAGTTGAACATGAAAGACAACTTCAAAGGGAAAAAAACTGGATGGTTAAAAATCAATTATCTCAGAGAGTTTTTATTCGAAATAAATAATTATAAATAACAATGAATTTTTAATGTGAATTAATTAGAAACGACTACTCCCGAGTTGGAATCCCGGTGGGAACAACATCACTTATTGGGAAGCAGGTACATCCAGCTGACGAGTCCCAAATAGGACGAAATGCTCATCCTGGATTCCACTGGTAGCCACAATCCATCATTAACACAATTAGAAATAAAGATTGAAATGAATATTCTTTTTGCTTCTATAAGAAAATTCCTATGAATTTATATCTTAGAATATGTGTAAGTAGGGTAAGAATTAAATGTACAAGTGGTTTGTATGTAACTACAGATTTGGATCAGTCACGGTAATTTAACAGAAGTAATATGTCAAGTTGTACAAATCAACTGAAATAATAATGAAGTATAATCAATGATTTACAAATTATACGATTCATGATGACATTTCCAACAATTGAGTAATTTTTCAACTATTCAACTTTATTGTCAACAGGTTTTCTGCTGGAAACTACTCAGTTGAGATCACAAGTTTATGATCTTTGACATAAAAATATAATGAACTAGTAAAATATACTATTATTGAACAGTTTAATTAGAGTTCAGTGTTTAGATCACTGTGATTTGTCTAGCGAAATACTACACATCAGCGTGATTGATTCCTCTCTACTCAAGTTGTTCAGTAGTAATATCTTACGCTAGAAAAGTGTAATTTAGATTACAAAAAAAGGTGTGATGAAATCTGTTCCTATAAGCGGAATAGTTAGTTTACAATTCAAACAGCTGGTGAAACACAAGATGCTTGAGAATATGTGAATTCTAAAAGCTGGTCATACTAGTACCACTGACTACACTTGATTATTTTGAGCACATAATTTAGACTGTTTAAGCTGAATAGCTACACCTTCAGGTGTTTGAAGTAATCGGTATCTGATAACTTTTGATAGAATAACAGGGATAATGTAAATAATAGAAAATGATTGATTGATTGATTCATATTAACTTTATGATCCGCCTAGATACCGAGCTATTCACATTTTCATCACATCTTTATTAAGCCACTCTGGCAAGTGTTTACAATCATCAGAAATCAAATTCCTAGATCATCAACTAACATAACTGACGATGCACAACATGAAGTAGCCAGCTCCGGTAACGCCAACTTCAACTTTCCCACATTAAAAGTTCATTGTATTGGTCTTCTTAGCTTATGAATTAATATATCGCGTGGTGCTTCCCATTGAAGTTGTATTCTCATGTAGAGAGTGATTTCTGGTTCTTGTTTTCTGCTTTCGTCACCATGTTTTTTTTTAGCTGAATAATCATTTTCAGTTGTGATGTTGTGTAGGATCTTCAACACTTTATCGATCACATGTGCTCCGAATATATACCTCCTTCTCTGCAATTGAGGCTCTTTATTAGATTTCGTTTGTGTTTGTGGTGGATGGGGAGGGAACTAAGCTAAGGAAATATATATATCGCCGTGTCCTTGTACCTTTCTGTCCAAAGTTTCTTTTCAATAATCTGTGTGTTCTTTTTAAAAGATAAACTTCTAGAAAGACTATTTTGTCCTGTACTTCGTTTTCATGTGTGAATTTTATGCCTGGGTATACTTCATTGGATTTTATCAGTCTCTTAGACTTTTTATCAAACATTTCCACAAATGATGAATATATGATCCACTTATTTAAGGTAAAATGAGAACTTTCGAATGAAATTATTCCGAGGATCAAATCATGTGCGGACCAAATTGCAACGCCACGCTGTGCATCATCATAGAACGGAGGGTAGAATAGCAGTCAACTCTCTACCTCAACTTCATCGATTTTGAAAAGGCTTTCGATAGCGTCGACGAAGTATTAATCTGGCAGGCAGGTGGTTCAACACTGGGGTTTTAGTGCCACAAACCTTTATGAACCTCATTTAAAAGGTATATGAAGACGCCACATGCTGAGTTATTCACAATGGAAAGCTCAATGACGCCTTTGAAGTGAAGAGAGGAAGGAGTAATACAAGGTTGCCGCCTACTATCATCACCGATAATCTTGGTGACTGTGGTCGACTGGACTGGATCATGCAAGAGACAACTGTGAGGAGGGAGAAGATGAGCATAGGGTGAGTGGAGGGATGAAATGAGCGTAGAAGATTTGGATTTTGTGGGTGATGATTCATGTTTAATGTCTTGTTGCACAAAGTCGAAGATGTTCAGGCGAAAAGCAACAAGTTTGCAGAAGAGTTGATGTGAGGTGAGGTGAGGCGAGGCTTAGGAGCGAAGGTGGGATTTCCTTCAAGTGGACATGTAGAAGACAGAGGTGCTGAGGATGCCCAACCAACGACAACGAGAAGAAGAAGAAGAAGAAGAAGAAGAAGAAGAAGAAGAAGAAGAATAAGAGGTATGGATCACCGTGAACAGGAGAAACCTAAATGAAATTGTCTCTTTGATCTACGTACTGCGTAGACAGCATCGTTTGAACTTCAGGCAGGTACATGGGGTGTAGGTGAAGATATCAAAGCCAGGATTGGAAAAGCGAACTAGATAGGTCTTGACTAATGTGAGATTGTAGTGGATATCTACTGTGGATGACTCAGCATAAAGCGTGAACAAGATCTTGATTTTTAACACAAATGTCAGTGAAGTGAGTGAGTGCTCGAATGTGATGGTTGAGAGACTTGGTGCTTTACGAAAAGCATTTTGAACAAACTAGAGAGATTCATCCACAGCTGGCTAGTGTGGTGGTATACTGAAGATGAGATGGATGGCGAGAGTAGTAAGTAATGAGAATAAGTGAGGAGAAACTGTGGTTTGGGAACACACCAACGAACCAAGAAGCTATCACCCAATAAGTATGCGTAAGAATAAAGTGTGGATGGATTGTATTGGGCATACACTGAGAACATCATTCGCCAGAGCATGTCATGCTGTGGAGTGTAATGCAGAGAGGAAGCGAGGATTTGTGCTTGCGATGTGAGGGTGATATGGAGGAGATGGTGTGTGAGGTAGAAATGAAAGCTTGTGATGATTTAGAATAAGAGACTGGATAGAAGAGAGTGAACTGGTGACATGTTACTGAATCTTTGTGTTGCATTTGGAACCCAAGGGACAACTAATAATCATAGCAATCTATCACGGAATTTAATACCTAAAGACAGCTTTTGATGACGTGTTCTGTAAGCTAGATGGTTTAGTCCTGATGCTCTCACTGTCATTCTAGATAACATCATCAATACATGTTTCAAAAAGAAATGAGCTGTAGCTCTGTTTTTCCGTAATCGGCTTATTATCTTGTCCTGATGGTCTTGTGTGTGATTGGTTGTTTCTGCCTAAATCTTGTCATTGTCTCCATACTTATTTCGATTGGTTGTCCTGATGACGTAAACTTATACTTTTCTGTTATTTCTTATTGGTTAATAAATTGGGTCACTGTCAATATGTCTGTTGATCGTTGACTGACCTGAATGCCAAGATTCTAAAACTTCTCTGGGATTTTTTGTATTTCCTCTATCCAGGATTTCCACATTTTCCCATTGGTATGAACTAGGATATTTCACGATACTTCTCTGCTGGTTGATGTTCTTGTAAACGGGAAACGGCGAGGGGCGACCGCTCTGTTCAATTTAGCTTTTTGCAATTTTTACAGTTTATTTTGTGGATTATCATCATTTGACTATCTGAGCCGTAGTTTGTCAGACTAGTATTTATACTGAGTGATGATTGAAAGTGAAATGAAAATTTGGACCGCGCCTGGATTCGAACCACCTGGTTTCCGGGCCGATGCTCTACCATCTGCACTATGAGGTTCGTCTTTTTTCGCTATTATATCTTTTTGCCTGCATAAGAGACATATCTTTGCTCATACCAATGCATGGTGACAACCGTGGACATAAATTTGACTGGGAAAATGTGGAAATCCTGGATAGAGGAAATACAAAATATGCCAGAGAAGCTTCACAATCTTGGCATTCAGGTCAGTGAACGATTAACAGATATTGACATTGACCCAATTTATCAACCAATAAGAAACAACAGAAAAGTATAAGTTCGCGTTATCAGGACAACCAATTGAAATAAGTATGGAGACAATGACAAGATTTAGGCAGAAACAACCAATCACACACAAGATCTTCAGGACAAGCTACTAAGCTCATTTTTTTCTGAAGTTTATACTGATGTTATCTAGAATGACAATAAAAGCCTCACGATTAAAGCATCCAGTTCGGAAAAGACAACACCATCTAAATTATCTTGCTGAACTTCAAACATTCTGCATCATCTAACGACAGTACCTAAAATTGTGTTATATCTAACACAATACTGTAAAAAATTGTACGCGCACCTCTGTTGTGGGTTGACTGGAAATTTGCGTGCAGCGGTTGAACTATCTATTATTATTGTTATTATATTATTAGTCCCTTGGGTTCCTAGTGGAACATAGGGCCTCAGTAGCACGCCTCCAGTGACCTCTGTTCTCTGAGATCTTTTGAACCTGGTCCCACGACAGCCCACAACCTCTCATTTCCTCCTCGCACGACCTCCTCCATGTCACCCTTGGACGTCCAACTCGTCGTTTCCCATGGGCATTCCACTCGAGCAACTGGCCTGACGCGTGATGTCCTCAGTCGGCCTTCTCAGTGCATGGCCAATCCATCTCCACTTCCTCCTGCATATTTGTTGCGTGATAGATTTTGGTTGGTTCGTTCCCAGAGTTCCTTGTTGCTTATTCTTTCTGGCCATCTGATCTTCAGTATCGAGCCAGCGTAAGCAGTTGTTGATGAGTGTCTGTAGTTTATTGGAAATCCCTTTCGTGACGCGCCAAGTCTCTGAACCATACAAGAGTACTGACTTGACGTTGGTGTTGAAAATCCGTGTCTTGTTCCGCATGCTGAGTGCAGAAGATCTCCACACTGGTTTCAGGCTAATGAACACCTGTCTTGCTTTTTCGATTCTGACTTTGACGTCCTCGTCCGTCCCGCCTGTAGTTGAAACAGTGCTTCCTAGATAAGTGAAGGAGGGTTGAACTATCTGTTTGTGCTGTGAAGTTTCTTTAGCGGTTAGATTTGTTTTACGGGGTAGGGTTGCTAGCCCTATGCCCAACCTTCCCTCTTTACCCGGGCTTAGGACCGGCTAGTAACTAGTAAACTAGTTAACCAGGCGAGGTTGAACTATCTAGGATTGCTTAATATGTTGTTATACTTGTCCACCTACTAATCCCATTATCGTATTGATCTGTTAGAATTTCACTGCTTGACAGTCATATTTATTGTGTTGACCACATTCTTGGACTTGTTTGTAAATCATTTCTACTCTACTACTTTCTTACTCTTGCTTATTTATATCCTGTGTTGTGATTGGTTATCTTTATCTCTTAGATTGATTGATTTTTGCATTGATGTTTCTCGGTCATCTGATGACTTTGCTCGTCTTCAGAATGAGCTTCTAATTTCAATCACACCCAGATTGGTTGTTTGTTACTAACACCACTGATTCGCTACTCATAGCATATCTAGGAGTTTTTCTCATGAATGCGCTACATTTGAAGGTGGTCATTACCGTTATTTTGGTGATAAAAGTATTTTTTTAGTATGATCACCTGCAATACATTTCAATATATTTGTTCTGAACCCTTGAGGTTTTGCGCGTCACTTGGTAGGGTCCCGGCTGTCAACACTTGCAAGTCATCACAGGGATGACATGAAAATGACAATGATCAGTGAATTCGCCCCAGAGTGAGATGGACCCCTGACAACCTTTCAGGATATATAGTCCTGAATGTTTCGTGGAACACTTTAAAGAACAGTTCAACTGGCCTACAGCCATTCTTTGGCTATACATCATCGAATTGGAACCTGAACGACGCATCTTTATTGAACGATATTAGTACATGGATTTGGTGATCTGCATAAGCCTACACTTAAAGTTAGTCATGACCACAATGGTCTTGATCTTTGACAATGATTATTAGTGCTGTTTGAACTTGCACTCTTACTTTGCAGATGAGGACGGGCAAACACAAAGTCTACACTATGAACTTCGTGCCGATTATCTGCAGTTGATTAATATAATAAACGTGGCTATTTGGATAAGTAATTATGTGTTCTCATTGTTTACTTCATAGCCTTATTCTTCTTCCAATTAGTGATACAATTAAACTTATGGCTGATCATTTTTTTTCTGGAAATATAGTACTTTAAGGCATAATTCAACATTCCATGAAATTTACTGGACTTTTGAATATCCACTTGTTGATTTTTAAGAGCAAAATGATCAGCTAATGTTGACAAATTGTATCTCCGTGTGGAGATGTTGACTGTTTCTTGTCGTATCTGTGTATTATTTTGGTAGTAGCTATCAGCAGAATCCAGGATATCCGTCCCGTCCTACTTAGGAATAGCCACTGACCGATTCGGTCCCGAAAAGTGAAAAACGGAGAATTTAAAACTCATTAAAAGTTATTATTATTATTATTATTGAACACGAACATGGTACAGCAAAGACACCGAAAAATGCGCCACACAAAATTGTATTTTTTGTGAGACCTGGGATACTGCTTGGGCACTCAAACCGAGCCTTTGACCTAAAGCCTAATCCACAAGTCGATGGAGCAACATCCGTTAGCTGCATTCCTATGGGGATGAAAATAGGTTCATACGCCATTCGTTGCTTCTTGAATCTGGAGCCGCTGTGCACCATTGGTTTGGAATTAGAGTTTTCCAACTCCCCTGGGTTAACCCTCAGTACCCACGAATCCGGTGATAACCGCCTAACATTCGGTTCCGCCTTTTCAGTTTTCTGGAGAACCCCGTCACATGAAGGCAGTGAATAGGACTTCTCTGGGAGTGATTGTGAGTACATACCAGGGTATTTGGGAGAGGAAGAGAAGGAAGAGTATAGTGAACCTAAGTATTTTATTTCTCTTGTTGTGCATTTCTGATATGCTTCGGTTTTTTAAAATGGGTGTTCTGCTCCAGTAAAGTACTCCATTTTTCCAGTCTGTTGTTAATTGTGAGAGTTTCAATGGAGCTGTGGCTCATTGGTTTAGGGATATGACTTTCAACTGCTCCGCCTTCTATGGTTTGGACAGCAGGTTAGTAAATAGTATCACTAGGCCTCACACACTAGGTTTGGATCATTGCTTACTGCAAGAATATGCACTTGATCGTTGAGTGCATTTCGAATCGATGCTACTCTGAAAGTTTCATTTTTTTTAATCGATTTTGAGTTCAGTATTGAGTTTGTTTTACACCGTCATAATTTCTTGTAATCACCCACTTGTTTATTTTACAATATAAAGGTGGTGATAATGATTCCGATTCAGACGAATTATGGAATAGACGAAATGTTAGTCACATTAATGAAGCTATACGCTATTATTCAGATTCAGAGTTGATTAATGATGATGGTGATAGTGTTGTTACCGAGAATATTTCCTCCGATTACACTTCATCGAGGATTACAAAACATTCAAGTCTTGATGCTCAAAACTCTCTTACTCATGATAGGATAATTGATCAGTCTGTATTCGATACGAATTGGCCTACTATTGAATGGCCTTCAAATTTTTGCCTGTTATTAGCGGTATTCATCAATAGTGGTTTGGAGACAACTTATGGTGGTTTTGTCGCTAGTTTCACTTTACGTTATCTCCTTTGGTCTCCGGTGAGTATCTGTCCACTTATCCACTTTGTTAATATGTTTGTGTGTATGAGACGTTGTACTCCACTGAAAATATATTATCATCAGGTTGTAAGATGCATATACTTTCTGTCTGTTTGGAGCAAACTAAAGCCGGCGTTACTATCGCCGTGATAAACGTTATCGCACCTTGGGAAAAGCACATAGATATAAATTAAACCATTAAATGTAAAATAAAAATGATAATGATGATATAAGAGTAAAAAAATAAACCTAAGAAAGGAAGCAGTTGAAAAAAAACGAAAAAAGAGGGAACAAAACAAACCAAGACGAAATTTAGTCCATGGTACAGACAAAGATAACCTCGCCTGGTTACCTAGTGCACTAGTTGCTAGCCGGTATTAAGCCCGGGTAAAGAGTGAAGGTTGGCCTTAGGGCTAGCAACCCTACCCCGGAAAACCAATCCAATGCTGTCGCACAAAGAGAATATAAAACATAAAATTAAACTTCTTCCTTGCTGGAATCGGAAAGACGAAATGACGCCAGTTGGTGAAAGCCTTCCGGGAGCCAGTCAGCCGATGTGTCTTCTCTCGATGAAAACGAAAATAAACATGGAAACATGGAGCACCCGTCCAATGTTCGAAGCTGGCTAGCTGAAAAGGCTGTCCAGATTGCAAAAGAGATGAGGAGGTATGGCATGGAAGTGCCAGGCTGGGAATCTGCAAGAAATCGGCAGGTGGAATGGAAGTGTAATCTCCAAACTTTCAACTGCAGAGTGAATAATCCACTCCGATATCGTCACCCAAACAACAACCACGAGCACACTGAGTTTTCGAGTGACTATCATCATGTCCCTCTCTCTCAATAGCATCGAAAGCTGTCTCTCATGCAGTAGGAACTAATCTCTTCCTGCAGGATCATGACAGCAAGATTCAACTGAAGAGGAAGGAAAGTCACAATCAGACAATGTTATGCTACGCAATGCACCTACAAATAATGCAGATGAAGAGAAGAAGGAGGAATTCTATAGACAACTGAAGTCAATAATAGACACTACCTCACCCTAGATGGTGACATCAAAATTCTAATGGGTTGGTTGACATGAATGAATGCGAAACTGGGAGCGGACGACATAGGGAGAGAACTGATCATGGGTCGAGAAGCACTCGGTGAAATGAACGATAGTGGAGAACTGTTTGGAGACTTCTGTGCATCTAATGACTTGGTGGTTGGAGGCAGTGTGTACAAACACAAGGATATTCAGGAGGCAGCGACATGGAGTTGATCTCACCAGATGGACACACTACACTGAAACTCAGATTGACTTCATGTGAATGTGAAGAAAGTGGAGATGCAGCCAACCGGACACGAGATGATGAAAGCGGGGGAGCAGATGTAGGTGGTCACACCACTCACTATTTAGTGGAAGGAACTTACTTTCAAAATCAAGTTGTAAGGAGTTGGCGATAGATCACAGTTGAAGTTGGAACCCAAAACAGAAAGTGAACTGAAGGATGAAACTACAAAGGACATGTTCATGTCAGTCAGCTGTGAGGACAAAATGGGAGGTATCGAGCAACATCCCTGTGTGGATGAACACTGGAAAAGCACTCATTGAAAGCTATGTGGAAGGAAACCTGCATAACCGTATTAGGAGGGAAGAGGAAATAAGACACGGAATGGATCTCGATGGACACATGCAAACTGATGGAGCAGGTAGAGGAAGATGGTGATGGTGAAGCAGAAGATGAAGCAGAGCCGTGTAGGGATGAACAGCGAAAAGAGGAACTTAGTACAACGTATAAAACACTGGAGGAGGAAGTGGAGAAAAGTGCGCACAAAGACTAAAGACACTTCTACGACACACTGGCAAGTGAAGCAGAACAGACTGCTGGTAGAAGAGATCTGATAACACTATATCAAATAACTAGGTTACTATGTGGGAGGGAAGAGATCAACTGAGATGAAACCGATGAGAGATAGTGAAGGAAAGCTAGTTACGGAAGAGGAGAAAGGGAGAAAACGATGGGCTGGCCACTTGAAAAAACTCTTCAGTCGACCACCACATGCAACTCGTTTAAAAATATCAGCCCATCCAGGCACAGAACTATCAGTGAACACAAGCCCTCTGCCAAAAGCAGAATTGAAGTCATGAATGCCACAAAGTTGCTGAAATTCGGAAAAGCAGGAAGACGAGATGGGATTTCTCGAGAAGCACTGAAAATGGGCGGGGAGACGACAGCGGACATGTTGATACGACTACTGCAGAAGGTTTACAAGGAAGGTTGGAAAAAGGACTGCCTTGTTAAACTTCCAAAGAAGGGAGACCTAAGCCTTTGCAAGAAGTGGTGAGGAATCATTCTCCTGTCCACCTGAAGCAAGCAAAATATTGAGCTGGATAATCGTGGCGGGACTAAAGGATGCACTGGATTCAAAACTACGACGGGAACAGGCTGGCTGACTGGCTTCAGGAAGAAGAAATCATGTGTGGATCACATTGCAACGCAACGCTACGCTGTGCATCATCATAGAACGGAGGGTAGAATAGCAATCAATTCTCTACCTCAACTTCATCGATTTTGAAAAGGCCTTCGATAGCGTCGACGAAGTATTAATTTGGCAGGCAGGTGGTTCAACACTGGGGTTTTAGTGCCACAAACCTTTATGAACCTCATTTAAAAGCTATATGAAGACGCCACATGCTGAGTTATTCACAATGGAAAGCTCAATGACGCCTCTGAAGTGAAGCGAAGACAGTAGTAAGACAAGGCTGCTGCCTACTATCAGCCATCAGCTCACTGATTAGAGTGGACTGGATCATGCAGCAAACCGTGAGGAGCAGGTAGATTGGCCTACGCTGACTTGATGCGACCCTAGAAGATTTAAATTTCGTGAGTGATGTCTAATGTCTTTTTGTACAGGCGAAAACTAACAAGGTGACAGAAGATGCAGCGAGGACGGGACTTCAAATGAACGTAGAGAAGACAGAGGTGATGAAGATACCTTACTAACAACAACATCTACAACAAGCACCAATCACGATTAACGAAAGGAACGTAAACGAAGTAGTCTGTTTCACCTCCCTAGGCAAGAGGGCATCGTTTCAACTACAGGCGACACAGATGAGGATGTTAAAGCCAGAATCGGAAAAGCGAGACAGGCGTTCATTAACTTGAAACCAGTGTGGAGATCTTCTGCACTCAGCATACTACGTGAACAACATCTGGATTCTCAACGCCAATTCAGTCAAGTCAGTGCTGCTATATGGTTCAAAAACTTGGCACGTTACGAAGACTACTTCCAACAAACTACAGACATTTATCAACAGCTGCCACCTACGCTCGTTCTCTCGATACTGAAGATCAGATGACCATAATAATAAGAATAAGCAACAAGAAACTCACTGTGGCCTGGCAATGGACGAACCAACCAAGAATCTATCGCTGAACAAATATGCAGAAGAAAGTGGAGATGGATTGGGCATACACTGAGGAGGCCACATGGGAGCAGCAAGCACCAGGTCAGGACGTTGAGTGGAACCTAAATGGGAAACGACGAGTTGGGCGTCCGAGGTGAGGATGACATGGAGGAGATGGTGTGAGGAAGAAATGAAAAGTTGTGGGCAGCGGTGGAGCGAGGTTCAAAAGACTGCAGAGAAGAGAGTGGAATGTAGACGTGCTACTGAAGCTTTGTGTTCCACTATAAATACAAAGGAAAAGTAATAATAAATACAGACATATGCTTTATCTACTTTTGCATACGAAGGTCAGGCTTCAATTTATGGATAACCAAGGCCCCTGCTGTTTTTAGACATTGAAGACGAAGAAAACGTCAAATGTTAGAGAGAATTCGATAGACAACCACCTTAATATCATTGTATGCTTGGAATCCAGTGAGATGTTCAAGGATAGAATTTCTAAGGCATTTCTTTTCATCCTAATGAAACCAGGCTAGAATATGTTCTGGTATGAGTGTTGACAGCAATCTCTGACTTACTGCCAATGTACATCGCTCTATAGGAGTAAGTGAACTGGTAGAGATACACATAGAGGTGTCCTGTCAAGGGATACTGTCTTTACACAATCGCAGAACAATCTACTATTAGTAAAGGTCAAATAAAGTTTGGCTGCGAAAAAGGTCCTACTAATTGATCTCGAAAGATAATTTTTGAGGATGCCTGATGCTACATCACCTTTATATTACGTATTCATGAATAAAATCTTTTTGGAAACTGAGATGATGACTGATTTCGCGTGTTTTTATCGCATATTCTTATCAAAAAATCGGTTTGGACAGCGGTTTACTGCAAGAGTAATTCTTAAAAAGTTAAGTCCAACCTGCACATAGTCTGTGCTGTAAATATTTCGTATTCTATAGCAGAGTGAGTGAATGTGGTTTCTTTTTTTAATGATCGGCACTTAACCATAGACATTAGTAAATCGTCCATTCTACGTGGGTTTCCTATAGATGGATCGTTCTTGTGCTCCATTGTTATGTCCTGTAATTAGCACATCAAGGAACGGAATATGTGGTTTCATTTCGGTGTCTATAGGGAATTTCAACACTGAGTAATAATTATTGAACTCGTGTACGATATCACCTAGATCAATATTTGAGTCAAAAATAACCAATATCAAAATAATTACAGAGAGGCAGGTATATCCAGCTGACGAGTCCCAAACAGGACGAAACGCGCATCCTAGATTCCACTACTAACTCCTATCCACCACTCATATAAAGTTAATACTATTTTGCAGAATCACATGTTTGATTGATGACCGATTCAACCAGTTGAATGTGTAACACGAACACTTTTAATGTACAGGAAAGTTCAACGCTGTCTAGTTTCACTTGATTGAGTAACTTCAACGCTAAAGGAGAATTTTTTTTCTGCGGCTGTTCCATCAAACTAAATTTTCGGGTTTGTGAGTTTTCAAGTTGGTATTCATCATGGACTGACATCAATTGGAGGAACATTGGAAACCTGGGAGCACTGGATAACTATTTCGTCCTAGTTTGGGACTCCTCAGTAGTTCGCACCCCCATCCCACCCCACCAGGGTTCGAACCCAGGACCTTCAAGAAATATAGACCATTGGATTCTGACTCAATGGTAACGTGCTGTCCACGTAACCTGAAGGTCGTGAGTTCGATTCCTGACGGGGTCATGGTTGCGGACTCTTGAGGAGTTCCATACTAGGACGAAACAGCTGTCCAATACTCCCAGATCTCCAATGTTCCTCCAACTGATGTCAGTCAATGATGTTCCATCAAAGTTGCAGTTATCGTTTTGAATCTTAACCAACTTCCGTGTATCCTGTGACAACCGTTAGTTTTCTGAGTTATCTAAAAATAATACAAGCGCGTACTTGTTATGACGAAATTAAATGTGCTACTGAACAACTTTGAGTAGTTACATATGAGAGTGATCTAAACACTAAACGATCGATTAGTCTAAACTTGAACATATTCAACTTACAGAGAAGTCAAATTGTTCATATCAAGTGAATCTGATTAAGTTAAGTGAATTGGTATGCTATAAAATGATCTGAACTGTTCGTCTATTGCATGAAATGTTTTTTTCTATCAGCCACACAACTCATCAACTTGGTTCCAAACTGATGAAAGGATCGTCTGGTATGTAGATGACTCTGAACTGGTTAACTAGTACTACCAATTCGCATAAGTGGTTCCTAACTACTTACACATTATTCCATGAATGATTATGATGGTTACATGTCTACTGATCGCTTGAATTGTAATCATTTAGCGACAATTATTTCATTCTGAACTCTTGGGATGATTGTAATCAGTGACCTCTAGTCTATATCGCTTAGCAACTGTTATTTTCTTATGTATTTAATTTATACTAAACACACTGTTCACCGTAATATATACATATGTTTTCCTCTCTCCTTTATTAGACATTAGCAATAATTGTTACCAGTTTATTTTGGTTCGGTGATCTTGTCGGCTATTCAATCCGTTTGGGGATAATTAGTATAAAGTGGCCAGATTTACATGACACTATTCCATGTGGTTCAAATACTCATGAATCCTGTAAACGTAAATTTTCTAATAGAAAATTTCGTCGTAATCAAATCAAGTAAGATTGATTGTAACCATATTCGTAGATGAATATTTTGTGTTTTCACTGGATGATAGTGTAATCGTCTAATCGCATGAACCTTCTGTTAAGCAGATATTAAATTAGTAAAATTTTCTTACTCTTTAATTAAGTAATCGTGATAAGATTTGTTTGATTCAGGTCACCCTTTTGAAGTACATCAGGTGTATAGGTATTTCATCTCATGGTGCTATGAGTAGAAGAAAGTTGGAAATGAAGAAAAAATAATGATCGAAGTTATATTTATTGTGGTCTATTCGGTGATTAGCAGTGGAATCCAGGACGTACGTTTCGTTCTATTTGGGACTCAGCTGGATGTATCCGCCTCCTAGTAGGCGATATGGTCCCCACTGAGGTTCGGAGCCAGTACCCATCAATTCAAACACCAAAGCGTTATCGACTAGGCTACTGGGAAACAAGCGCCACTACAATATAATGAATATCTGGGGAGGATCCCATCTGCTGACAGAGGTCGAGCAATTCGACCGAGTACAGCAGCGGGGAATTTTAACTTTCCTTTTCACTGAAGTCAAAGGAAAAACTAACGGTTGGTCATCACTACCTTTAATTGGAGACTAGATTTGATCACGATGTGTCACTCGAAGAAATGCTATGTAGATATCTATCGCTTACAGGTTTTTGGTGTTGACTTTCACACATCGGCTGATGTATTCGAACCCTACTCGACCTACTTTGATCCGCGTTCACCAATTGTAACTCACAGTCTAGTGCGTAAATCAGCACTGAGTTACTCAGCTGTATTGCATCACAAACGGTTTTATAAAGCAAATTTTTCTTCATTAAATGAAGTTACTGTATAAAATACTGATACTTCTCTGCATTCTACAAACAATTTCAATAGCAGCCTAGAATGATATGCAATATAAATCGAAATTCATGCAGAAACACTGTACATTCGTACAGTAGACAATGTGCTAAACCTATCGGTTGCCTGAATTTTGGTCGGTGAAGGTAGGTACGGACCTGTAACTCATCGATTGCAAGTTAATGGTATCAATGTTAAAAATGTTGTTGGAACATTACAGTGAAGAAAGATTGAATTCTATACTTAAACATACGTTTTGCTTAATTATTTCCCCTTTTTAGTGTTTGAATTGTAGTGAATAGTCTTCAATCATTGTCCTTTTTTAATAGTTCAATGAAATGTATAACTTACAAGTTCAATTGTAATCAGGAGAAATCAAATCGAATGTAGCAGATCCAATACTTACTAGTATATTTTACCAAAATATATGATACTCTCAAACCGTTAAGCAATTTCGAGATCAGTCAAATGTTTTTAAATATTGTCCTTTTTGGCATGAGATGATATTTCCTGTCTTGTGTATAGTCTCTTACTTATCGAGTAAATCCAGTTGACACATTCTCACACTCCGTTCAGACTTACCACCGACAGAATAAGATAAGCTCACGTTATTCTACTCGAATTGGTTTTGTTTACTCTTTCTTGTGACATTTCTTTCATACACCTTATCAATTGACAACTATGAAAGTTTACTGATGGCAGATCTTTAACACAACTCTTCATTATTAAATACTCCACATTGATCTTCAGGCGAAGGTATATCATGATGGTGAACATAGTAATGTTGAAGCTTTCCGTATAATCTGGAGATAAATTCATCAATAAAAGTTGAGGCAGAGTTAAAATGGTGATTATTTCTCGTGAATAGATAGGACTCTATATTCGACTTTTTTATTTGATATGGCCCGCAGTGATATAGTATTATTTATTTACTGCTGACTACAGGAAACTGACACATTCTAACAGGTATCTAAACTTCAAGTCATATCATCTAATGTCAGTTAAGGCGGGTTTAGTCACGTGTCTAAATGAATAGGTAAAAATCTTACTAGGGTTTAAACGAGGAATTCAAAGAAGCGCTATTAATTATCCTCTACAGTTTATCAGGAACACATAAGAAACAAGAAATAATAACCATAACACGAGTAGAAATGAGTTCACAGCCACTATTATGTTACCCTATTTCACCTACCTAAGCAGCATCGTTTCAACTACAGGCGGCGGCACATATGTGGATGTTAAAGCCAGGATCAGAAAGACAGCAAGACAAACCTCCATTAACCTGAAATCAGTGTGAAGATCTACTCCACTCTACTCCACTGCATTCAGCATAAAGAACAAGATCTAGATTTACAACACCGATCCAGTCAAGTCAGTTCTTCTGTGTGATGGTGGAGAGATTTGGAGCCTCACGAAAAGCATTTCCAACAAACTACAGATATTCATCAACAACTCCCTATACTGGCTCGTTACTGAAGCTCAGATGTCCAGAAAGAATAAACAACAAGGAACTCTGGCTGGCAACGAACCAACCAAGAACCTATCACTCAACAAATATGCAGGCGGAAGTGGAGATGGATTGGATTGTGCATGCACTGACAAGACCATTCGGAGAAATCATGTGCCAGGCCAGGCACTTGAGTGGAACCCAGATGGGGAAATGGTGAGTTTGGCGTCCGAGGTGAGGTTGACATGGAGGAGATGATGTGTGAGGAAGAAATGAGAGGTTGTGGGCAGTCGCGGAGCGAGGTTAGAAGGAAAGATTGCAGAGAGCAGAGTTGGATGAAGACGTGCTACTGACGCCCTATGTTCCACTAGTAACCCAAGGGATAAATAATTATATAATAATAATAGAATACAACGTTAATTTTGAAAGGTTATTAGATATCGTTCAGTTTATATTAGTAGAGCTCTAGTAATGTAACCAGATATTTTGCCATTCAGTGTTGTGATTAACTTTTTACCTGTTTTTTCTTCAATCTTTCCAATTTATAAGCCGAACTTTTTCAATTCCTACATCGTTATCACGTAAACATTTTTAACTGAGTTCCTAATCTTTCATTCCTTTTTTTTTTACTGAGCGTTCGTTGTCTACCGATTTTGTTACGAAATCTTTCAATTCTTGATTTCAACTCATAATTACTTATTCACTTTGATAAATATTCTCGCGTTTCCTGCATAATCCCCATTCTTATATTATTTCCCTGACTACAACCTACTAAGAGTTATTGTTTAATAAACCGCGTTAATATTTTTACCAATCAGTGAATGCACTAAGTATATTTGTTCCCAATTGCGTAGTTTTTTATAAAGATATGACCGAAGAAATCATTGGGAATATTTAAGGCTTTGCGGGTAAAGTTTCTATGTCTTTGCATATATTTTCGCACCGTTGATTAGACCGTATTAATCGGCCTCTACTGGTATTATGGGCTGCTGTGTGAACACCTTGATATTGCCTATCATTTCAATTTTATAATAACGATGGATTTCACTGCCAACCACTATTCATTATTACTATAAAATTGAAACAACAAGCAATACCGAGACATCCACACAGGAGGCCATATGCCAATGTAGACCGATCAATTCGGTCGAATCGAGGATGGGATAATCCAAGTAACAACACTTAATCTATATCCATCCATCCATCCAGACCAACCTATGACCAGGCATCACTGCGTAACGGTCCGAGTTCCCACACCTCATCATATCACCACACCAAGTAAAATGGCAGTGAGGCGCAAGATGAAGATAAGAGAATGCAGTCAAAAGAAATATAAAGTACGAAAAGAGAGGAACGAAGAATGAGAAAGTGGTGAGATTCGGTATAGCGTCGTTAAGATGAGGATAATGTGTGTATACATCTGCGCCACCCACATCGGTTCTCAGCCATGTGATCACCTAGAGTCGGTCTCCAACCACTGGTTCCTTTTGTCCCGTGGACCCCACCCACCTAGTCTGCATCGTCCTACATGTCTTAAACCAACAGTCAGAGACTTCATACATTGATGTCATGTTTAAGTCTGGCCACCTCGAGCCTTTTTCCAGCCTGAACCTACTTCAGCCATCATTAAACTATATCCGTCGTACAACAAGTTGCTATCGTGACTGGTGTTTGAAGCGATCGGTCCCGATTTGTAGTCTTACTGGAAATAACATAGCTCACTTTTTTTTTAGAGGGGAAGGGGGACGGAAGTAGATCCAGCTGACGAGTTCCAAATAGACGATGAAACGTGCATTCTGGATTCCATTGCTAAGCACTATCAATCATTGCCATATACAGTAGGCTGGAAATGGAAGAATTTGAACCGATAGTCTCCAGATGACTAGTCCTACACTTTAGTAATTCAGTTTTTAGAGATATGAAGTGTTCAATCAATCAATTATTAATTAAATTATCCAAGTTAGTCTCTACTTTCAATTTAATCATTTTAATCTCTCTTATATCTTCAGGTGTTCAAAGCCTTCAATAATTACAATCATACAAATATGTGGATGTTTTATCTGTATAACTAGTGCTATTGCATTGACACATTTATCAATGTCAACTGGAAGATGTTCTACTGTGTTAACTAGTTCCTTATCTCATCCTTATTTAATATGGTTTATTGGAAGTTTTTGTTATGGTATTGGGATTGGTTTATCATCTGCTTTTTCTGGTACACTTATGACACCTCATATTACATCAAATTTATTCTTTGATAATTATTCCTATGATATACAATTGGCTTATTATTTTGGCCAGTTATTAATGCCAGCAATGATAGCTATGCTTCATCATCAAGCCTTATATTGGCGTTATTCTTGTGTATTTAGTATGGCTGTTTTATGCTTAAGTATTCTACTTGGTTGTACACTGATTAGTCAATTTATTATTGAGACTATAAGAGAGAAACGTGAACACAATCAGTTACAATTGGTTAATAATGCTCAAAATCTTAATGGATTGTCTTTTTCAAGTACGAAACACATGAGTAGAACAGGGATCAGTTTAGATAGTTCTAATGAGTAGAATAGTAGTAATAGTAATCGTAGTGGTATATGTCTTTCGTCAAATTCATTTGTGGTATTCTTCCCCTTCTTTTTATGTTTTGCTTCTTTTTTTTTTATAGAAACATTTTCCTGTAGTGATAAATTTATTGCATTTCTTTATTTTGTACTCTTGTGTGTGAGTGCGACTGCGTTTGGATGCACCCCAATGATCGCCCCCCTTAGTAATTCCCTTATGGTAAAGGTGTTTCTATGGGCCACGATTACTGATTTATTTTCATAGTTTATGTGCAATTTTTTTTTTCAAGGAATTTATCTGGATGAAATTTTGTTTCTATTTTGTTTAAGTGAGCTCTGAATAAATTTTTTTTAACTTTATGCTGTTTGTGTCTTTTTTTAAAATATATTTCTCTAATGGCAACTCTGGAAGTCACCCCCCCCTATAACTACTACTGAGATAACCAATCAGATTTCAGTGTATTGTGAAAAAAACATATTTCCAATTGAAATAAACAAGCCTAACTGGTTATTTTAGATTAGTTGGTAGGCTGGTTACCTTTGGAGTTGCCTCTGTAACCCTGGCTGAGGTTTGCGAAGAGTATAGAAATTAATGGTTGAGGACTCTTAGTGAGATGGCTAAAAATTGGCCACAGAGGCGCATACAGCTTTATCTACCTTGATATCGCTCTTTTTTCAACCACTTGTTCTTGACATGGTACTGTAAAGTGTAGTGACTGGAGTCGATTCACTATTGTGGAAGGTTCTATGTTGATTTCGTCTATCTGTCTAGTGAAACAATACAGAACGAAGTATACTGTTACACCATGTTGATTGGTTATTTGTCTATCAGTTCAGGATATTTGAAAGAGATCAAAAGGAGAGTATTGAATCGAGGGGATGAACCAACTGTAACACTATTGGGATATCTCGTTCCAAGTTCCCTACACATCGCTTTAACACATTGAGAGGAGAAAGAAAATAATGAAACTCATAAAACCGCTGGTCGTAAAGGACCGTAATATGAAAAAAAAACGTGATTCATTTCTCAAAATTCAAACCAGGTGTATATGCGCCACTGTATATTCAGTTTTAAGTTTTATCTCCCAAAGTTTCCAATTATTCTTTGTCTGCCTTTTCCAATGGAATTAGTAAACCCATACAGTTAAGACCATGGTATAGACGTTTATAATTACTAAGTGTCGTCCCTTAATCTGACCATCCTAAAACGTTTAACATTCTATTACTTTAAACAGCGCATCACGTCATGAGTATGCTTGCGTACTACACCCTAGTTACTTCATTTAATGCACACTTAAACATTCATAAACTAATCTACACCCAGCCTCCTCATTGTTTATGCACTTAATCTACTAAATGAGTGCGAGGATACGAAGACAATAATAACGATCGACTGCATATAGTGTTCATCAATTGGAAATCTTTAATTCTACTATTCTTTTTATTATATATCCCTTGGGTACCTAGTGGAACATAAGGCTTCAGTAGCATGTCACCATTTCACCCTCTTCTCTGCAGTCTTTTTAACCTGCCTCCTCGACTCCTCAGAACCTTTCATCTCTTCACACGATCTCCTTCATGTCATCCTCACCTCGCACGGCCCAACTCGTTTCCCATTTAGGTTCCACTCGACGTCTTGATCTGGTCTGACACGTGATTTTCCCGAATGGTCTTCTCAGTGTATGCCCAATCCAATCCATCTACACTTTTTTCTTTTGCATATTTATTGGGCGATAGATTCTTAGTTGGTTGGTTCGTTGCCAAACCAAACTTCCTGCTTGCTTATTCTTATTATTCTGGCCATCTGATCTGATCTTCAGTATCGAGTGAGCGAGTGTAGGCGGCAGCTGTTGATGATGTATGTGTTCAGTTTGTTTGAAATGCTTATCGTAATGCACCACCAAGTCTCTCAACCATCACATAGAAGTACTGACTCACTTTACTGACATTAGTATTGAAAATCCGGATGTTGTTCACGCTTTATGCTGAGTAAAGTAGATTTCCACACTGATTTCAGATAATTGAAACCAGGTCTGTCTTGCTGTCTTTCCGATCCTGGCTTTGACGTCCTCATCTGTGCCAGCATCTGTAGTTAAAACGATACCGCCTAGGTAGGTGGGTAAAAGAGACAGCTTCTTTCAGGCTTCTCCCATTGATGGTGATTGGTGCCTGTTGTTGGTTAGGTATCTTCATCACCTCTGTCTTCTCTACGTTCACTTGAAGTCCCGTCCTCGCTGCCTCTTCTGTCACCTTGTTAGTTTTCACCTGTACATCTTCGACTTTGTGCCATAAGACATAAATTATCGGTGATGCTTATGAATGGGTTGAATAACTATTCAGTTGTAAGAAATTTGAACGTGACCCATGTAATTCGTAAATCATTTACAAACTGATTATCTTATTTTATTGGGCGCTAGGATGGCCTTAACAGTCGCTCACTCAAAATTATTGACACATTTCGAACACAATCGTTCCAGTTGATTACAACTTCATTAGAGCCTTCATATGGGTTAAGTACCTCGCCTAGGTAACTGGCTCACCAGTTACTAGCCATTCCTGTGCCCGGATAAAGAGGGAAGGTTGGCCTTAGGGCTTGCAACCCTACCCCGGAAAACCAATCTAACCGCTAAACAAACTTCAAAGCATAAAGGAAATATAAAAATAATAACGAACTTATTCTTTTCTGGAATTGGAGAGACGAAATGGCGCCAGTTGGTGAAAGCCTTCCGGAAGCCAGTCGGCCGATGTGTACATCTTTGACTTTGTGCCATAAGACATTAGACATCACTCACGAAATTTAAATCTTCTAGGGTCGCATCAAGTCAGCGTAGGCCAATCTACCTGCTCCTCACGGTTTGCTGCATGATCCAGTCCACTCTAATCAGTAAGCTGATGGCTGATAGTAGGCAGCAGCCTTGTCTTACTACTGTCTTCGCTTCACTTCAAAGGCATCATTGAGCTTTCCATTGTGAATCACTCAGCATGTGGCGTCTTCATATAGCTTTTAAATGAGGTTCATAAAGGTTTGTGGCACTAAAACCCCAGTGTTGAACCACCTGCCTGCCAAATTAATACTTCGTCGAAGGCCTTTCCAAGGTCGATAACGTGTAGGTAAAGACGCAGTTGACTGCTATTCTACCCTCTGTCATCGGTTGCGAAATCGAAATATTCTGGGATCTTTTTTCTCGGTCCAGCCAGCCTAGCCCGCTCTTCTCGCTCCGCACTGTTTGCTGCATGATCCAGTCCACTACAATCAGGCATATCATGGGTATCTGATTTACTTAACTAGAGTAAATTATCTGACCTTTTTTTTTTGATGAAACATTTCTCAATATGTGAAATCCATATGTCTGCTTCACATTCCACTTTAAAACATTCATTGAATCCTTCGCATAATTCAACAAATTGAATAGTAGTTCTGGGGGTATACCCCATTCATTCTCTCATTCCATATGTGTGTGTATTCAACTACGTCATATCAATGTGTGTTATATTTTCTTCAAATCGTCGATAATATTTTGATACAATTAAATCTGAGAAAACAAAGCGAATATGTAGTTTATTTGAAATGTGTTATGAATACATTTGAAGCATACTGGTCGTATACTTACTTGTCATGCATATTTGCGTGAAATATAACAAAGGATAAATGGGTTTGAAAATGAATCGATACTGAAAGGGGTCAAATTGTTAACTTACAGGTCAAATGAAATGATAAACGAAAAAGAAAAACAAAACAAGATGATATTACACTCATCATTCTTGATCTTAAAGTTGAGTTATGATGAAGTCAGTAGTAGTAAAAATACTTCGTTTATAGCTAGAAGTCTGACAAAGTAAAGTATAAGTCTCCAAGTGATTTTGTAAACAGGTTGGAAGAATGCATTACAAATCAACTTGGTGACCCGTTTCAAGAATATTTTTCACTGTGGACAAAGTTCTACATCTATTGCTTTGATGAAGAGGATCATTCCGTTTGATTTGTTATTGCAGACATTTTGGAATGTACTTCTTGGACCTTACTTGCATAAATAGATGGGCCTTCCCTATGTAAACACATTTAGGTGTGACTCCATGGTTTAAATGCTGGGAGGGTTTACATGATTACCTAAGTTTTGTTTTCTCCATGATGTCGACCTGTGTTGGATAGTATCTTCTCTGGATAGCTACGTTAAGTCTTTTTGTCTGTTTGTCAGACTCTGTCGGTCACCCATATATCGTCGCGTGAACAAAACATCTTTCTTTGGAAGTAATTGAATAATGGATTTTCTTTGTGGTGCCTTTTTGATACTACTTTTAATTTCCTGGTGATAATAGTTATTTTTAGTAGTACTTTGATGAGCTTTTGTTCTTCCTGATCTAAATGTGGTTGAATAGGTGTTTGAGAAGTCCCCGTTTACGTTGAAGTGGACAGAAACTATGTCAAATGAAATAATCTCTCGTCCATATCGATTTCTTATAGATGGATCATTTTATTGATCTATCTTGCCGGTGAGTTTACGAGAGCGTGTAAGAATGACATGGACTCATCGTTTTCATTCTCACACATTAAGCATATGCTAGCGTGAATTTTTTTTCCTTTGATCAAGAATGGAAATAGCACCTCTGAGCCTCAGCTTATCACACATAATTATGATATCGTCCAAATATCTTTTGTGGAAAGGAAAGGAACGTTCCCAACCAGATTCGAGCGATATGTATCAACTAATTTAGACAAACGGTATTCTGACGTTTGGCTCTTGTATTGTCAAGAAGTTGAAGGAGCCCGTCGGAGCGGTGCAAGTTACAAAATAAAACCAATGGATATCTTCTTCTACATTTCTGTAGTAGGTCAAAAATACACAAACTAAACACCTCAAAGATTTCATGATAAAATTTGTGCAAATAATTCCTAAGGAAAAGAGTAAAACATCTTGCAGAATCATGTGTCCATTCTATGAAATTTTTAACACAATTTTTTCTAAACGATTAAGGATGATGTTCGTTGTATTATTCCGTCATTGATTGGACCGAATTGATCGAACTCTGGCTGTGTATGCTCTCCTTGATATTGCCTGTGTTTTAACTATGTATTAATGATGGGTAGTGACCAGCAATGGGATCCAGCGACCTGCTTTTCGTCCTATTTGGGACTCGTCAACTGGATTCACTTCTCTTCCAGTGAGCGACATTTTTCCAACAGGCCGATCATTATGGTCCTATCAACGATAATACAGGCAACGACATTAAAACTACACCTGTTGCACAAAAACGTGGCTGTCATGATTCAGTAGTCTAGTGTATAATGCTCTGGCATTTGAAGCGATCGGTCCTGAGTTTGAGTCCTTGTGGGAACAACATTCTTCACTTAGCAGGGTGGGGGCTAGTATGTCTAGTTGATGAATCTCAATTGGGTTGGAACGCGCTCTCTGGATCCCACTGCTAGCCATTATCCACCACTAAGAATGACTTAGGATTTGCATATTGACAAAGACAAACTGATTCTGCCTTTCGATGTTACAGCTAATATACACGTTAAATGAATCGAAACTATGTGAAG